TCCTTTTGTCATCTCTTGATCTTCTGGGATAACTGTGCTCTATAATATATTTTCTTTTTTATTGTTTTTATCGGTCTTATTTAAAAGTATTTATTTTTTATTTTAAAAAAATAATTATATACTAATATTATAATACTTGTAATTTTTACTTAAATTACAAATATATAATTGCATATATAATTACTTTATATATAAAATCAAATGATAAAAAATATTAAAATTTTTTATATACCTTCACTAATTAATAAAATACTATAATTTTTTAATTTATTATAAAATTTCAAAAAACCTCTTTAATTTGGGACGAAAAGAATATATTCCTAAATATTGTAGACTCATAGCTAATTTAGGAATTAAATAACGCCTATATAAGCTATTTTAATATTTAAAAATTCTATATAGATGAAATCATAGTAGTAGGGGAGCTATGCCACCTAGGGATGTCAAATGGGGCGGGTTAACCCTGGATCCGTCCCGGACCCATTTTTAATGGAGTGGGTTCGAGTCTAAATAATATATTTCGGGATGGATTGTGGATTTAAAATTTTAAATCCGGCCGGGTTCGAAGCAGGTTACGGATTTTACTAAAAATTCGTCCCAACCCGGACCCGAATCCAGATATTTTTTAAAATTATTATAACTAATATATATGCACATTTATATAATAAAAATATATTATTTATTTACTTAAATAATTTTAAATATAAAATTTAATTAGTCGCCTGCTCCAAATAATTTTTTAAAATTATTATACCTAATATATGTATATTTATATAATAAAAATATATTATTTATTTATTTATCTTATTTTTATGGATCAATATTTAATTTTTTTTTAGATTTTTTTTTTACTTTTAATGCTATTTGTTTTAGTATTCGATTGTTAAAAAATATTTATTATTATATATTTTTTAAAAAAAACGGGTTTGCCGGGTTGGCCCAAACCCAGAGGGAGTATATAATAATCCGGCAAACCCGTTTTTAACCCGGAGGAAGTATATAATAACCCGGCAAACCCAGCGGAATACTGTAGCACCCGCTGATTCCAGCGGGGTGCAATTTTCTTTTTTATTTTAATATAATTATCTATTTATTTATATAATTATCTATTTTTTTTAGTATTATCTATTTATTTATGTGTTATCTAGTTATTTTATTCTTTTATTTATTTTATTTTAAGCTTATATTTTATATATTTTATTTTATTTTATTTTTGTTACTTTTAATTTTATTATTTTTTATTATAATTTTGTAATTAATATTTATAATAAATTATTTATTTAATATTTATTAAAATTTATAATTAATTGATTATGGTAAAATAATTAAATTATATATATTAAATTTAAAATATTATAATATTTATAAATAAAAAATAACATTAATTATAAAAAAATATCATAATATTAAATAAAAGGTAAACTTAAGAATACAATATAAAATTATACGTACAATATTATTCAAAATTACTTAAATAAAAATAATAAAATATTAAATTTTATTTGTAATTTTAAAAATTATGTAAAATAAAATATAAAGAGAATATTTTTTAACCCTGCAAAAACAAAGGGTATGGTTGGAGAAAAGACCTGCAGAAATAGAGGGTATAGTTGGAGATGAGTTGCAAAAATAGAGGGTATGATTGGAGACAGCAGACCTCTCGCAAAAATGGAGAAATGTATTGTAGACTTGCAAAAATGGAGTTATGAGTTAAAGATAATATAAGGTGAATTTGTTTAGTAAAATTGTTTAAAATTATTTTTTATTTTTACATAAAGTAAAAAGAATTATATAAATAATATAAAAATAATAAATATGTAATATATATTAATTTTTTTTTTTAGACAAATAACTGAACGAAGAAATAAATCATTTTTTATTCTCTAATTTCATTTTTTTTCTTGTGCGGAGAAGCAGTTCGGCGAGGGCGCGCAACGGTGGAGCGGATCGCGGCGTCCGAGGCGGCGACTGGATGGTTACCGTCGCAGGATGTCTGGTAGTGCAGCGGCGACTGGGAGGAGAAAAAGGAAGAAGTAGAAGAAAGGGGGAGGAAGAAGAGGAGGGCGTGGTGGAGAACCGGCACTCATATTCTTTGGAATTGATAGCTATGTAGTCTGGCGGAGGCGGAGGAGGAGAAGAAGAAGGACAGCGGAGGGGTGCCGGAAGCGGAGTTGCGGCGGAGGCACGCCAGAGGTGATCTGGCGAGGCAAGGTGGGATCGCAGTGGTCTGGTTCGGAGGGAGTCGCGGCGGAGAGGAGAGCGGAGACGCTGGGGCCGGGTGGAAGCGAGGCAGGGCGGGTAGCCTAATATTTTTTAACGGGACGGTCTCGGGACCTGCAGAACCCGTCCGGAACCTGTCCGTTGACATTCCTAATGCCACCCAAATCAACTGAGGGAAGTCGCTCGTAAAGGGAAGAATGCTCATTCATAGCATTCACTGGTTGGGTTCTTTTTCGGAATTCGGCTATTCACCTGAATTTGCTTTTGCTCTCTGCAGCAACATAAAATAATTTTTTTTTAAAAAAATTCAATAATACTGTCTAATCTGACAAATTTTTCGATAAATAATTAGTTGGCTCACTCGGTAGCTACGAGCCACTCTGTAGCCCGACCACCTGATTCTATCCAAACTCTTTAACCCAAATCCAATTTCTAAATCCATATATCAAACCTATGCCCACTTGTTAGGTTATGGTTTTTTAGTTAGAAGAAGTTATCTTTAGGGTTATAATAGATGGGAGGTTTTTGGGATGGGGAGTAGGTCAAAAACCATTCAAGAGAAAGACGGAGAGAGTGAGGGAGAGGGAGAGAAACCGCGAGAGGATTCCAACGAGTTCCGAGTGGTTTTTCGGTCAGTGAAAAGCCTTTTTTATGGCTAATTTCGGTGGGGTGTCGAGCTGAAGAGCCGATCTCCACCTTGAGGTGGCATTACCTCGTGTCATACTTGCACCTGTGGGGCTGAGCCGAAACAAATCGTCCCTCACCGCCGCAGAATGTTCGAAGCAGTTCGGGTTCGATTGGAGAATTATTGAGGCTGTGCGTCGTTGCCGGAGGAAACCGATCTCTGTCTCTGCTGTTTGGTGGCGAAGCCGCCGCCGACCGCCGCTGTCTGAGGCTGTTCTGGAAGAGGTCGCGCTCTGTTGAAGAAGATGACCGGAGGGAGCTGCTTCCGGTCGTCCGCTGCTGTCCGTCGCTGGTTTGAGTAAATAGGAGAGTCATCGTTGTCTTCGTGGGTCGGCGGCGGTAGAAAATCTGTCTTCTTTCTTCTCGGTCGAACAGGGAGTAATTTCATTTCAATTCTCAATTCAATTGAAGGCGTGTTTGTTTGCTTTTAATTTCCTGAAAATCAGGTTATGTCCTTTAATTGTGTATTTTCAATTTTAATTTGATATGATTTATTCGAATTCGTTTATGGTAATTCATTGTTGTATTTTTTATACGAATTTTATTCGATAAATTCAAAAAGATCAAGCAATAAATTCTCAGACAAATACTACAACGGAAACAAGGAGTTTCTCTCAAATTGAGAAACCATCGATGCTAGTGCTCTAACTTATCTATTAAAATATAAAGGGCACTATGCTGGAGCATTTGATATGATAAATAATTGATTTATTTTAAATATAAAGTTATTTACTACTCCAATTAATTTTAAATTTTATTTAAATAATTAAATATTAATAATTTTTATTTTTTTTAATTTAAATTATTTGTTTTTAAATAAAAGTCAAGGATGTATTTCTTTTAAGTTGATTTGATTTCAAAATTTTGATTTCAATTGGATATTCTATAAAAAAAAATATATAATTCTTTAAAAAATACAAAATTCACAGCTTAAAGGATGGTTCGGTGAAAAAAAAAAAAATGAAAAACACTCCCTTAAACACCCAATAATTTTTTGGTTGATTTTGATTTATGTAACTAATAAACAATCTTTATATACATATTATATACTTCATTAGTCTCGGTATAATTGATATTATTTTTATTTGAATATCTTTCGTAACAATTGACACTTAAATCTTATACATTAAAATATTTTAAATCAAAATATATTTAACAAATACAAATTAATTTAATTAATCGCATAACATATAACATTATATATTATGTTCCATTCAAATTTTCTTTAAAAAAAAAATACTACCTCTGTCTGGCTCTAAGGGTTCATTTACTTACGTGTTGAATTTTAAATATTACTTTATCCGTCCCACATACCATGTCCATGTTGCCGTTTCTGTCCGTTTCACATACTATGTCACTTTCCTTTTTTGGAAAATAATTACACACTTTAATCTCATTTTAATCTTTTTAAATTTTTTTAAAAATTTTTAATTAAACTAATTAGTTATCTTAATCTTAATTTATAATTATTTATATTATAGGATAATTATTTTCGCTAAATACATTCTTAATTATCTACTGATTACATCCCTTCTAAAATACCGTGTCTACAGTGTAGCAGACACTGGTACGTGGGATAAGGTAGTAATTATTATATCAAAATGTAGTTGTACATATTAAAAAAATTTGCAAAAATATTTTCATTAATGATAGAATGATATTTGTAAAAAAATAAAATTATGCAAATATAAATATTTTTAATGTTAAATATAAAAGTAAACTTGAACTAGAGACAGACAAGAAAAGTATATATTTATCTATATTTAAAATTTAATTTGTTTTATAAAATTAATTTACGTTAATTATAAATAATTTGTATTATAAAAACAATGATATCTACATTGGTGAGATACTGCATCATTTTTAAAATATTTAAATATATATTAAAGTATTTTTAATTATATGTATTAAATTTATTTTAAAATTATTAATATTATTAATTATATAATTTACTATTATAATTAATTAAATATTATTAAATAATGGTCATGAAAAGTATCTTAACATAAATTTATGTTGGGAGAAGGAGGTGGTGTAAATTTTTTTTTTTGTTTTTTTGTTTTTCCTTACAAAATAATTCAAACGTATTTAAGTATATATAAATTTCTTCCCCGTGAAATAATAGCCGATCTCGATGGAACAATTGCCGTCTACTTCACAGCCCTCGGAGCCGCCGCCGGCGTCCACTACATCCGCTACGGTCGCCGTCGCTACTGCTTCACTCCCACCGCCTACAGCCACAACAAGCGCATTTCCGAACCCTAACGCTAACCCTAACCCAAATCCCTCACCCTCCCCTAAACCTCCAACTACGGCACAATCGCAGCAGCAACCCACGAATTCCCAATCGAGGCCGTCGTTCAATACCAGACCATGGCAGCAGCCGGCGTATTCACATTTTTCTCTCCCCTCTCCCCCCCTTCCTTCTTCTTCGGCTTCAACCTCCGCCGGGTCCGCCGCTCCGCAGCCTCCTCGCGGCGGAGTGGCCATTGGTGTCCCCGCTCATGCCCCTTCCGCTCCTTCCCCTGCGCCTACATCGTTTTCTTCACTCAATTCTCCATCTTACGGACAACAATCCCAGGTTAATTCTTTCTCCAAATGCCTAGTTGCACATTCAGCAGTTTTTGTCTTGAATTCTAGGTCTAGAGAAATGACTTTTGTTATTGTGAATTTCGATTAAGTCTTTGAAGTTTGGAATTTTTATAGATATATATGTATTGTCATCAAGCCTTTGAAGTTGGGAATTTGTCTGATCTTTGTTATATATTATAGATAAGGCAATCAATCCAAGGAATAGGAATGACAGGTGCGCTTGGAACAACAACCTCAATGAGACCAGGAGTTCCTTCTCATCATTTGAGACCTTCTCAGTCATCTCTCAGACCACAGACTAACCCGAGTAACCAATCTCCTGTTGCGCAGGTTGCTAAGTTAATTGAATATGAATTTAAGATTAAAGGGGATGAAACCCTTATTAGGTTATCATTTATGGTTTGAAAATATGGTTATGTCTTCAGTGCTCAGGGAAGTGTTGAAATAAATCATATTTGATGTGGGTGAGGTTATAATTGCCCGAGTTGAGAACTTTTTATCTGCCTCTCCTTCTAACCTGTTTAGGTTTTGAAAATTTTGGCTTTAGCATATCGAATTTTGTTCGCTTTCATAAAGGTAAAACTGGAAGTTGGTGCTTTTGAAATGCTAAAACATCAATATCATGTTTAGAACAAATCATTTAGATAGGAGTGTTCCATGAGTATATCTTGGCTCTTACATGCCTCTATTAAGTTTTTTGCCTTAAACACATCTGTTTTTTTGCAGCTTCATTAAGCTTTCCCATTATGATTTTGGTACAGTATATATATTGTTAATATAATTTTGTTTACATAATTTTTTATTCTCAGCTGACGCACAATCGACTGTTTGTCTTTTCTCACAGCACTAGCTTAACACCATTCTTATGCTAAGGCACTTGATTTCATTGAAGTGCATTCGTGACTAGTGTCTTAACTTTTCTAACTAAAGGTCATGGACTTGGTTTTTTTCATTGCAACTGTTACCTTATTTCTGCAAGTACACAAAGACTAGAAATATATACTTGTTTTCCTTGGGAATGATCTTACTTCCTCTTATTTATTTATTTATTTATCTACATTATTATCATTTTTTTTTTCTTTTAAATTTCTTCCTATTTTTTGCCTAATGTTTCACATTTATATAAGTTCCTTTCAGATTTCTTGTTTCTTACATTGTGGGAAGGTCTCTCTTTTTAGTCTTTATTCTTGTATCCAATTCCAACAAAAATGTGCAGAATAGTGATGTTATTTGTATTATATATTTTTAATTGTGGAGCAAATGAGATCTAATTACAGACAACATTCCAGTGTAAAGCAAGCTCAGCCAGCCAAATTAAATCGCAATCAATTCAAATTTGCCAAGCACAACAAGACCAAAAAATTGTATATAAGTTCTTATGGAAGCAATTGAAGTGAACATTATTTCTGATTTTTTAAGTTATTAAACCCAATTTGCTTGTTTTATTATTTGTTGTAAGATGCACACTCCTCTGGCTCTAAGGTCTTTGTGCCTGGAAACATGGAACACCATTACAAACTATTCTGATGATTGCCAAATGGTTTTGCGGTGACAACTTAAGATTGATATGTTTCATTTGGATGCTTAGTTATGCTTCCTTTTTTATTAGAATGTTTGTTGTCTACTGAATTTTTGCTCGCTTGTTGGATGGTGATGAGCCAAGGATTGTGTTTATGTGTTCTAGAGTCTTCTCTATTTTTTTCTATCACAGATAAAGTTGGTTTTATATTTGTTCTGATAATTTTATCAGAATTTTCAAGGACATGGCATGATTAGAGCTTCATCATTGGGATCGCCTGCTTCGCCATCACCTAGTGGTTCTCAGAGTTCACAGGCCCAGAATCAGCCATGGTTGTCTTCAGGAACCCAATCAAAACCTCCCTTACCTACTCAATCCCATCGACCGCAAGTGAGCCCTCAATCATTTCAACAAAGGTCCCACATTCAGCAACATCACCCTAACATGCCTACCACCCCTCAGCAACAGCCAGGTGGTTCCAGCCAGCAGGCACCACAAGTATCAACGTCAGGCCAGCCACAGGATCACTACAGCCCACAATTTCCACCTCCCAGGATGCAGCAGTCCATAACTCAACAATTGTCCAGGGGAGGAGTATTAGGAAGCCAAAGACCACCTCTGGGCCTGACACAATCAAGTTCATTACCCCCAGTAGCTCCAAACAAAAGTTTGGTAGCAGATGCTGAAGAATCTTCTAATAGAATTGTTAGCAAACGGAGTATTCAGGAGATAGTAAACCAGGTGAAGATCATATTTTCTTATTACATCTGCTTCTGTGGGTTCATCTAGACTCCTTTGATAGTTAGTATTTTAAAGTTGTTTTGGTTGATATATTAGTTTTTCTGTATGCTACTGTGGCCAATACTTATATCTTCATGTTTTCTACATGGTTGAAGTGGCTTCTCCGCTGTTGGTTATAGCACAAGTGAAATGCAAGCCTTAGTTTTTGTTTACATATAGTCACAAGATGATTATTATATATTACATTAGATAAATGTTTAGTTCATTCCAATAGTATGAATTACTTGCTGATCATATAATTTGATTGTGCCTTGACAGTAAATATTGAGCATATTATTTTCCTTTTTTTGGATGCATTCATATCTGTCAATATGTATGGTGAAGTTTTTTATTGTCAAGACTTGTGCAATGGTTGAACTTCATAACTTGTCATATGCTGATCAGGATGCCAGGTCCTTTTTATACTGTAAAGGTTGAGGAGTTCAATGATTTATGATTGTGCTTACCAATTTTAACCAAAGCGAGGAAGTGATATTTTGTCCTTTTCGTCCATTCCTTTCTGGCTGTACACTATTTATTATCTTATGTCCTTGTATCTGGCTTAGTGATTGTGTGCACTAGTGAGTTTATCAATGTGCACTTATTTATACTTTTAAGATCTATATTTATCCAATATTCTTGATTAATTATTGTTTTTGGACCTAATTTTACCAGATTGATCCATCAGAAAAATTAGACCCTGAGGTTGAAGATATTCTCGTTGATATTGCTGAAGACTTCATGGAATCAGTAAGCAAAAATAGCAGCATATATTTTTGTCAGCATCGTCAATTTCTGGTCATATTGCTCTCTATACATATATCATGTGGTTAATTTCTCACGTACATGCATACAAGGAAGTTTGTGATTATTGGTCTTATTGGTTTAAGACAAAAAACTGGGACAATCTTTTCTGCGGCTTATAAATTTCTTTAAGGGGGATTGTCATTTGCAAGTGTCAATCGTTTGATATTTTATTTCCACACAAAGGAATGTGTTACCCTTTGGTACTTTCATGTCTTAGGAAAGACCTTACCAGTGTATTACAGAATATAAGATTCCCTTTGTTTCCTGGTCTTGTGAATTAAAGAATTTGTTATGCTGAAATGATAAAACTCTTTCCGCAAACTAACCTCTCGGTAAAACTACTGTAATGAAGGCAGGTATGATATAAGGACAATAATATGAAGATGTGATTGGTGGGGGCAATTGCTTGTGTATTATTTATTTATTTATTTTTAACCATAAACGTCCTTATGTGGTTGTCTCAATTTTCTTAGCTGAATTATATCTGTTATTCCTTTAAATTTTAAATGACCAGATCACAACATTCGGCTGTTCCCTGGCCAAGCATAGGAAATCAACCACTTTAGAAGCGAAGGATATACTCTTACATCTTGGTAAGTATTTACGAGTCCTTTCCGTTGGTAGTGCAATTACGAGGCCTCAATTTGTGCCTGTTCTTTGAGCCAGAAAGGAACTGGAACATGAGTCTTCCTGGATTTGGCGGCGACGAGATCAAGACTTACAAGAAACCTGTAAGATCTCTGTTGATAATTATCTGGAATTATGCGCTGTTTTTTAGTTTCACATCTCCTAACCCGAGTTTTTTTTGTCCTTCTCTTGTATGTTGTGAATCCAGATTGTTACTGATGTCCACAAGGAGCGGGTTTCTGTAGTAAGTTTTGCTGCTTCATTGGCGTGTACTTTGTACAAATTTTCATTTTTTCTTGACGTCCGGTTGTTCTCATCAGTGAAGTTTTGAGTGGGTCTAGGTTTCATAATCTAGATATCTTGACAATTTCTAATTTCACTGTTCTGTATTTCTTCTCTGCAGATAAAGAAGTCAATTGTAGCCGGTGATAAGAGCTCAGGCGGATTGTCTGGTGGGAATGCAAAAACTAATCTAGCAAAAGGACCTGCCAATATCATCGGTTCCCCTCCTAATCCTAAGATATGAGAAGCTTCTTGAGATGCCTAATGGAAGCAAACCTTTTTACCCTTTCTGGTACGAGCTTTACATTTTCCCTATCTATGTGAGCTGTTAAATGATTAAAACCCCGGAAATCTTTAGCCTAAAGATGCATAAAAATAGTGGCCCGATGAAAATGTAGCGGCGAGTAAAAGATCTTTGCCTCCTGCTGCAGCTTTATTCAATTCTGCAGTTCTCGACTCCTTGAGTACTACTTACTACCACTTCTGGAGAGCACTTCACTTTGTGGTTGAAAACAGATGCCTTCCGAATTCAAGATCTCAAACAGTGAGTGAAATGTATGGTGCAGCTTGAGAAGAATGGATGGAATGGAGATCGAGAGGCCGGGGTAATTCCTGCATATGGATTTCTTCCTATCGACCTTTTTGGATGAGGTATTTATCCTGATTCTGCAGTTTTTTTTATAAAAAAAAACATCTGAATTGTCCAATTACTTGTTGAATGTGGGACTTTAATTGGTCATGTTATTAGCACAAGTCTAATTTATTGGTTTGTACAATGAGGGTTGGTTGCCCTATGTTAGACAGTGTGAGTTTCTTCGACTGGGCTGAGAATGGCACACTAGGATAGTATTAATTTTAGTAGTTTCTACTGGGTTTGTTATTTGAGTTAAACGGTTGTTGTACACAATATTTTATGAAAAATGTGTATTTAACATTTTTGTAGGGAACTACGACGGAGTTTATAATAAGGAATATATATACCGAGAGAACATAGTAAAGATATGTTAGGAATGTTCAATTGTTGAAATTTCAATGGAAATAGCCGTTGAATGTGATTTTTTGTACTTATATATAAATTAATTTTATATGTAAGAAAATGGTTAAGGTGTTGATTTGGTTAATATGTTGTGCGAGATAAAATCACATGTTTTATGTATATACTTCTAGGTGTATTGTACATAAAGTATGTTATATAGTAGAATCAACTGATGAAATTATATAAAGTGTTGTTAGCTTATGTCATGACTTGTTTTTGTATTACAATGTTATGAATAATGTGTTCTATATAGTGTTACGCGGAATTTTAAAATTCAATACCAGTATGTGTAATGATATATTTGTAATTTATATATAAAAAAAGTATTTTAATATTAATGTATTTATTTTTATTATAATAGAAAATAAATATTTTTAAGTGAAACAGATAAAAATGATATTTTTAGTTGAGAAGGAGGGTGAATATTTTTATTAAGAATTATGTGTATTGGGAATAATGTTAATTGAAAATAAATTTGTTATGATTAAAAAATGGTAAAATAAATATTTGATTTGAATTTTTACGCTGATATTTAAGGAAAAAATAGATGCCACATGGAAAAATTATGTAGGGTGTGTTTACATGTACAATTTTTATTTTGGTTTTACTATTTTAAAAATATTTTTTTTCCAAAAATATCAAATCAAATTTTTATTTTTCATTTATTATATTACACTAAAATTTAAATTTTACATTAAAAACATCACACTAATATCGCATCAATAACTGTTTCAATCTAAATTTTACTATACAAAATCAAAACTCAAGACCAAAACCCACAAGTAAACACACCCGTAATGTTAGTTGGTCATGGACATTCAGGGGTATTTGAAAATTAGCCCATAGCTCCCTCTGTCTTGACACTATTTCCATTTTTATCTTTCTTATACTTGATATTTTTTTTATTTTTGGTAAAAATTATTACGCTCAAAACATATTTAACAAATATAAATCAACTTAATTATCTATATAACATACAAGTAGAACCCACTCATAACTCATTTATTCCTGTCTCTCCTAAAAAAAATAAATATATTTTTATCTATATTTAAAACTACACATCTTTTATAAAATTGATTTATGTTAATTATAAATAAAAAAAAATATTTTATTTATTTATTTTGTACTCCCTCCGTCCCACCACAATTGACACCTTTTCCTTTTTTTTTTGTCCCACCACAACTGACACCTTTCATTTTTTAGTAAAATTTATCAAATATAAATATACTTAACAAAAACCATTTAAAATAATTAAACACGAAGCAGTTAATTAAATAAATAAAACAATAAAATAAGATAATAAAATAAAATAAACAAATTCAGTAATTTCATTCCAATTTCAGTCATCGGTTTCTCATACTCAAACTCTAAATTCATTCGCGATGGATTCTTTCTCTACCACGCCTCTTTCCGATGGTCGCCGGATACTCACCGCCGCGCTGCTAGCGAGGACGTCGAAGGGAGAAATCGTCGGCAACGATTCTGATGCTATCGGATCGTATTTTCCTTCGGTGCTGCCTACGCCTAAATCTTGTGAGTGTGTGCCTGAAACTTTATTTTCCGAAAAATCGGTGGTAGCGCTGCTCGACGACGACCAGGTGACTCTCTCCGGCTATGTAACTGATACACCCTCTAATTTCGAAGGTTATAGTCGTGTTGGTGGGTTTCGTTCTTTCTTCTGTCCAGATTCGCCTTTAATTTTCAAACGCCCTTTAACAATCATAGAGGAGTTCAGTCTGCTCTACTTTCCCTCGGTATTCACACTATGAGACTATGAATTTTATATTTGTTGCATTATTTTATTTTAATTTTTATTTTTATAAAAAAATTATGTCCAATTGTGTTTATATCTGTTGTACTGCAATTTAATCGTCCATTCATTGTATTTGGCATATAGAAAATCTAATTGTCACATTTGGTGAATATGATGGTAGGCTATTGAAATATACAGAATGTTAAAGAAAAAGAAAAAACTATGTGCTAATCAGGATATTAGTGGCATTTACATAATTTGGCGGTGCTTTCGATAATAATATAATGTCATTGGTTTTTATATGTGAATGTGAGGAGTATTAATAAAACCTAAATATCTTTACCAAATATTGCAATACAAAAGCAAAGTCTTAGTCACATGCATATCTATGTATCATGTATGCACGGTATGAACTTTACAAAATGTGCATAAAACACATAGCTATTCATGTAATATCTATGTATGCTTCTAAGTTTTTCATACAAAAAAATCATTGTTTTTTTTACTCAAGCAAGAGTTAACATTGAGAATGGAGAGATGATTATATCTTGTACCTCAATTCCCAACCCGGAAAGCAAAAGCAAGGCGTAGTCTTCTTTTCATTCATCCATTAGGTATGTTAGACAATTAAGAACCAAATTCTTGTCACATTCAAGTGTCTAGGTAGAGCATCATGTCGAATTAGTGCATCCTTCTTCATGTGTGGAATTTTATATTTGTTGTGTCCTCTACTTTTCATTATTTCAATCATGCACCCTTGTAAGCTTAAGAATACTTTATTCAATCTTTCGGCAGTCAATTCTTCAAAAGATAATACCACTGCATTCACTAGCTCATCCACATTGGTGCAATCCTTCTCAATTTGGATACTTTGTATAGCCTGAAACCATCCAAGGTCATTGACATTCAAGTCTGGAGAGTTTAGAGGTTGTTGCACTAAAATAATATCAAACCCATCACTTGTGGCAGCCTTTCTGAAGTCAGCATCATCATTTCTTATGTGTGGTCTTGCATTATCTTGTTGTATATAAATTCTTTTTGTCATGTTGGCTGGTCATTTCTTCTTTATGGCTAGGATAATCTGTCAAGGCATTATAGTATAAATAATTGACATATACAACCTTTCAAAGTTAGTGAATGCATATAGTGAAATAGAATAAGTTGGAGTGTGCTAGTTCAAATAAACATTAGTACAATCTAACATTATTTATTCTAACATTCGATAAATTCAAACAATTGTATATTTACATTGTTGATTAAGCAAGTCATAATAACATCCTTCGTAATAGCTTGAATGGGTTTAGTGACTAGTGTGCCTGTTGCACGGTTTTTACTAGTTCTTTTTGCTGCTTCCTTGTATGTGAAAGGGAATATGCCAATTTTCCCATAAAAAATCAAGGAACCATCCACCCCATATATTGGTTGTAACACCCCGGCCGGCTCAAACCGGAGCGTCACCGCCACGCCACACCGGAAGGCTCGTTCATCAACCAACGAGTCCTACATTGTGACGCTAAGGCTTAAATAATAAATACCAACAACTAATAGGGACATAGAATTAAAGCGCACCGGTTTATCATTTAAATAAATAAAGTTCGAATCAAAAATATAAATTGGAAATAGTTCAAAAGGCATTAGTCTTTAAACACAATCAATGAATTTCAAAACATTTTAGAAGGTAAGGTGGTTCTAATTCCCCCCGATGGATCATATGACGTGAATGCATCACTTAGGCATAACAGAAGCATGATCACCTACAAAAATGATCGTAAGAAGAGGGTCAACACAACGGTTGAGTAAACGCAATTAATCGAAGATAAATTAATATGGTATAATGCCACAAAATCATTTGAAGAAGATAGTCGAATAAAATGACACGTATCACATAAGGGGAACTCACACACACGAGTCTTTTAGCGCCTCCCTTATACTTTCTTTTCATTTTCAAATAATAACGATGAGCACATCACAAAGAAAACTCCACTAGGCCTTAATCAGGGCCGGCTCGACCCGGTTTTCCAACCTTATTACTTCGTATGACACGTCACATAATTTCACATAACAAACATAGGGTCATAATCCTCAAAGGAAACTCCACAATGTGTACATAAGGGTTCGAAATTCAAAGTACACATAAATCAATTTATTATTAGTTTGCGAGGGGCGCCATACGGCCCACAACCCTCTAGTCTCCAATATAACATACCAAGAGGGGATTGTACGCAATCCAACCCTCTATCGCGGATGACGGTCTAAAGACCTTTTCATCGTGAATGACGGGCACCTCAGAATCACCAAAAAAGGGAACCCGCCATCTCGATCCCTTGACCTAGCCCATTATTCATACATCTAAAAATGAATAGCTTCTTCAATCAAAGTGTAAACAAGTTGTTCAAGTGCAAATTGTAGCCTGAGCAACTTATTTGGTGGTGTCAAATCTGGTTTAAGAGCACTTGTGTGGGCTCTTAAGGCTCCACTTGAAATCCACCTCCAAACAGTGCTTTTAGAACACTTTATTGAAACAACCATACTTCGAACATATCCTATTTTTTTGAGGGGAATACTAGCAATCAATTCATAATTTGGAAGCACCTTCTTTGGCCTGAAAACACTTTTTTTTTTACTGGTTAAGTGAACCACTCCTCCATTATTCAATTGTTTTTTTGCATCCTTCCAATATTGATTGACAATACTTTTAGAACATGAAAAAAGCTTTTGTGCCGCTAACATTTTTCCAGAAGCAGGTTTGCCATTCTTAAGATTCCTCAATAAAAATTGAACTATAGCATTACGTTCATTATCAGTAAGATCTTTTCTCCCTTTCATTGTAGGCCGGATGTCAAAGAAAAGCTTGTGTTGGATTGATCAAGAGGAAACTACAGTTAAAAGAAGGTAAAAAGTTAAAAAGATTTTATTTTTTTTTAACATCTTTACATAGCTGAATGATTATGAGATAAAGTAATATAGTAAGTTTACCTTTGTAAAGCAATTCCAAACTTGATTATGCTTTCTTTGATGTATATGTGACTGTATTTTTGTTGTTTTTTTTTTGTGAATGACAGTAAAAAAAATGACATGTGCTGTGGTCCTCTGGTGCATTTTGGGAGCAATGACAGCCTAGAGAATTTTTTGGAGGGAAATTATTAGGAGGGAAACCAAATGAATTGGGAGTATTATGATTATAATGCTTTTTGGACTTGGCCCTGCTCATCCCGTTTCTACTGTATATATTGTTGCTAGCTGTTTTATAGTTTCTGAATGACTATATTGTTGCTAGCTGTTTTATGGTTTCTGAATGACTACTTAGATAATATTGGTATGTTTTTGTATTATACTAGATTATGTATGAATGTTTAGATTATTTTTGTATATTTCTTTTTGTTTGTTTTTGCTACGATGTGTTGCTTGTTGTCTGTTAATATTGTGTTTTTATATTCTCTTCGGTTGTTACAATTATTTATTGTTATTGAATATAATTATAATACAAAAATTAATTTATTAAATTGTATTCATAACACAATATAATTCTTTAACTATTACCAAAAATTATGAAATAAAATTTTATTAGAAGATAAAATTTTCACTACTAGAATGGTTTATTACTAGTTAAATATTTTAATCTATTAAATTTAAGTATAAAATAAATTTATTAGTCATTATAAAATTTAAATAATATTTTTAAATTATCAATAGCATCATTAATATAAAAAATAAATAAATTAATATCATAAATTACTATCATTAATTTACTAAATCTCATTAAATTCCACTGCCTTAAATACCGTGCCTACCACAAAAGATATCAATTGTGGTGGGACGGAAGAAATATTATAGAAAATTTTATTCTCTATAAAACGATATCCATAATATACATTTTTTAATTGCTATATAATTTTTAAATATTTAAACATATATTTTAATTTTGTTAATTATATATATTAAATTTATTTTAAAACTATAAATATTATTAATTATACAAATACTAATACCATAATATCATAACTAATTATTATTAACTAATTAAATATTCTTACCTTAAATATTGTGTCAATAATCAAAGGATTCAATTGTTGTTTTAAAGAGGGAGTATTTTGTAAAATAATATTTTTAACATAAAATAATAATTAAAAGATATATTATATTGTTATACATGTAGCTATTACAAAGTGTATATGTAATATGGTATGGATGCCTTGTTGGCCACTTTAGCAACCATGCATTCATTCCACTTGTTGCCTATAAATATAGGTGTACGAAATGAACAAAGAGACCAAGGAATGTAATTTGACCTTTCACCCATTTGGCTTTCTCTCTCTATCACTATCTCTATCTCTCTCTATAATATATATATATATAAACACTCATACATACATACACACCCATTCATATATATTATACTAATTATTATACTTACCAACTACATTATATTATTATATATTATATAACACATTATCAGCACGAAGGTTCTTGCCTATTTTGGTTTTTGGTAAGTTTTATTTTTATACTATCTATATTATCTATTTTTTAAACTATGCAAAATCTTGCAAAATTTTCTTTTAAACCTTTTTCTCTCACCGGCAATAATTTTCTAACTTGGTCCTTGGATGTAGAAATGCATCTGGTTTCAATGGGCCTTGTTCATACAATTGCCAGTGAAAATACGGCTACAAGCCAAGATCGGGCTAAGGCTATTATTTTCATCCGTCATCATTTAGACATTCCTCTACAGTCTGAATATTTGACGATGAAAGATCCACTTGATTTGTGGAATGAATTGAGGGAGAGATTTGGGCACTTGAAATATATCACTCTCCCCAAAGCCCGACATGATTGGCCTAACCTGCGATTGCAGGATTTTAAAACTGTTACAGAGTATAACTCTGCTATCCATCAGATTACATCCCAGTTAAAACTCTGCGGAGAAAATGTTACTGAGAATGATAAATTGGAGAAGACTCTCTCTACCTTTCATGCTTCGAATGTTGTGCTGCAACAGCAGTATCGTGAGAAAAACTTTCAAAAGTACTCACAGCTCATTGCATGTCTTTTATTAGCTGAGCAAAATAATGAGTTATTGATGAAAAATCATCATTCCTGGCCCACTGGTTCCAGTCCGTTCCCTGAAGCGAACGTGACATTTTCTGAACGAGGCCGAGGACATGGTAGAGGCCGTGGACGTGGTCGCGGTCGTGAGAGTCAACGCGGTCGATATACCCCTTACAATCGCCGCAGTTTTGACGTTAACAGGATGCACAATAAACCCCAACATGGGGATATAGCCGAAAAGGCTAAACAGGGAAAAAGGAAAATCGGCATTTGTAACCGGTGTGGCATTGAAGGCCATTGGGCCAATACCTGCAGAACAGCCAAACACCTAGCCGATCTTTATCAAGCCTCACTGCAGAAAAAGGGGAAGGAGGTCGAGACTAATCACGTTGATAACGATGACGACCCCGATGATGATCTTTTGGATTACGACACAACGCATCTTGATATAGCGGATTTTGTCGTAGATCCAGTAAACCCCCAGTGACAGACATATTATGTCATTTTACATTATTTTTTGTAATATTTAAATTATTGCATACTACCTTTTTGTAATACATTTTGTAATACTTATATCTGTCTCTATTAATACTGCGTTTATTTATATTTGAAGGTTAAATGGATGCCAAACATAATGATGCAAATATGTGTTTCATTGACAGTGCAATGACACATACTATATTGAAACACGAAAAATATTTCTCCCATTTGAAAAGGGAAAAAATGAATGTCAATACAATAAGTGGCAATGCGAAATTAATTGAAGGCTCTAAAGAAGCCATTATATTTCTCCCCGCGGGGATGAAAATTGTGATACAGTATGCGCTGTTGGCCACTAAAGCTCGAAAAAATTTACTGAGCTTTCAGGATATTCGGAAAAATGGTTATCACATTGAAACTATGAGTGATACCGATGGTGAATTTTTATTGATCACCAATATCATTGATAAAAGGAAATGCATCATTGAGAGATTACCATCACTCTATACTGGCTTATATTATGCCAGATTAGGTGTTGTTGAAACACACCTCACGGTAGATCAAAAGACTACCGATTTTCAAATATAGCATGATCGCCTTGGGCATCCTGACAGTATAATGATGAGGCGAATAATTGAGAATTCGCATGGCCATTCATTAAAAGGTCAAAAATGTTAAACTCAACTGAGTTAACATGTGTTGCCTGCACTCAGGGAAAATTGATAACCAGGCCATCGCCAGCTAAAGTAGGTATTGAATCACCTATATTTTTGGAAAGAATACACGGGGATATATGTGGACCAATAGACCCACCGTGTGGGCCATTTAAATATTTTATGGTGCTTATTGATGCATCTACCAGATGGTCACATGTCTGTTTATTATCTACTCGCAATGTGGCATTTGCGAGATTGCTTGCCCAAATCATTAAATTACGGGCATAATTCCCCGATAATCCAATTAAGACTATACGTCTGGATAATGCTGGCGAATATACATCGAATGCATTTGATGATTATTGCATGTTGATTGGAATTAATGTAGAGCACCTAGTTGCTCATGTTCATACACAAAATGGCCTGGCAGAATCACTTATTAAAAGATTGCAATTGATTTCTAGACCATTATTGATGAGGTCTATGTTGCTCGTTTCAACTTGGGGGCATGCAATCTTACATGCAGGAACACTTATAAGAATGAGGCCGACAAGCTATCATAGCTATTCCCCAATGCAGTTAGTATTTGGTCACGAACCAAAATATCTCATCTACGTATTTTTGGGTGTGCTGTTTATGTTCCTATACCACCCCCCAAACGTACAAAAATGGGTCCTCAATGTAGATTGGACATTTATGTTGGATATGAATCGCCGTCAATTATAAAATGTTGGAACCGTAAAGAGACAGTTATTGATAATACCTTCGCATACAGTTTAGCACTTGATATAATGGAAGAAAATGAGGATGCAAAGCCAAAATCGGTTTATGAATGTCGGCAAAGAAATGACTGGCCAAAATGGGAACATGCGATTCAATCAGAGCTTTATTCATTAAACAAAAGAGAGGTCTTCGGACCAATTGTTCAAACACCAGATAATATAAAACCAGTTGGATACAAATGGGTGTTTGTACGAAAAAGAAATGAGCATAATGAAATTGTGAAATATAAAGCCCGTCTTGTAGCTCAGGGATTCTCACAAGGCTTGGAGTAGATTTTGATGAAACGTACTCTCTAGTTGTTGATGGAATAACATTTAGATACCTTGTGAGCCTAGCAGTGCGAGAAAAGCTCGATATGCGCCTTTTATACGTAGTTACTGCATATCTTTTCGGCTCCTTGGATACTGATATTTATATGAAAGTTCCTGAGGGATTCAATATGCCTGAAGCATACAAATTAAACCCAAGGGAATCATATTCCATCAAATTGAAAAAGTCATTCTATGGACTTAAACAATCAGGGCGAATGTGGTATAACCGTCCGAGCGAATGTTTAATAAAAGAAGGTTATACTAATGATTCAATATGCCCATGCGTCTTTATAAAGAAAAATGGATCAAATTTTGTAATTATTGCTATATATGTTGATGATCTCAATTTAATTGGAACTCCTGAAGAGATCCAAATTGCAGTTGAATATCTAAAGAAAGAATTTGAGATCAAAGATTTTGAAAAGACAAAATATTGTCTGGGATTACAAGTGGATCATGTGAACAACGGAATATTTATCCATCAATCAACATATACCCAAAAAGTATTAAAACAGTTTTACATGGATAAATCTCACTCTCTGACTACACCAATGGTGGTCAGATCCCTTGATCCCAGTAAAGATCCATTTAGGCCAAGAGAAGAAAATGAAGAAATACTTGGCCCCGAGGTACCATATCTCAGCGCTACTAGCGCACTAATGTACCTTGCAAATTGTACCAGGCCAGATATATCTTTTTCAGTAAATCTACTGGCCAGGTTTAGCGCATCTCCCACAAAGCGCCATTGGAATGGTATCAAGCACATTTTTCGTTATCTTCAGGGGACTCATGACCTCGGTTTATTTTATTCGAGTGAATCTCGAAATGAATTAACTGGTTATGCTGATGCTGGTTATCTGTCTGATCCACTCAAAGAAAAATCTCAAACTGGCTATTTATTTACTTGTGGTGGAACCGCAATCTCTTGGAGATCTGCTAAACAGACAATAACAGCTACTTCTTCAAACCATGATGAGGTTTTAGCAATTCACAAAGCCAGTCGTGAATGCGTTTGGTTGAGGTCCATGACTCACCATATTCAGAAGAATTG